TTTAGGTTTTCTAGCGTCTTGAGATGGAAGTGGCAGTCATTAATTTCAGAGATTTTTTTCCTATCCTAATATAGGTGTTTTGTGTTATAAAATTGTCCTTAAGTACTGCTGTGAGAGTACCCTAGACATGTTGTGTTTTCATTTTCATTCAGTTCAAAATACTAATTTCCCTTTTGATTTCTCATTTGAGCAATTGGTTATTTAAAAGTCTATAATTTAGTTCCCAAATATTTAGTCTTTCCACCTTTTTTTTTAGCAGTTACTTGCTCTTAATTTAATTCAGTTATGATCAGAAGTCATACTTTGTATGATCTGAATTCATTTCAGTTTATGGAAACTTGCTTTATGGCTCAGAATATGGTATATTTTGATAAATGTCCCCATGAGTACTTTAAAAAAATGAATATTCTGCTGTTGTTGGTTGGAGTGATCAATAAATGTTAATCAAATGAAGTTGGTTGGTAGATGCGTTAGCAATGGAATTCTGTGATTAAAACAGTAGCTTCCAAAGTGGGTGCATACACTCCAAAGGTATGCAGAATGACCTATTGGGGTACAGAGAGAAATTATTAAAATTATATATAACTTATTTAATCTATAATATATAATTTACTAAAATTATATCTGTATATCCTTGAGATAAAAAATTAGTCTTATTACTATTTACATGTTATACTGTTATATACCTTTTCTTTTACTTTTTGTATATTGTAACATATGGGTTTAGTTTCTCTCACCCAAAATTCTTGGGACCAGAAGTATTTTGAATTTTGGGATGTATTAGTGCAGTTTCTACCCCTGGAACAGAATACCTGAGGTAATTAACTTAAAAAGAGGAAAAGCTTATTTTAGCTCACATTCTAGTGGTTTCAGTCCATGGCCACTTGGCTCTCATGCTTTGGGCCTGTGGGGACACCGTGCATCATGATGGGCATGCAGGGCAGAGGAGGCTCATGACAGCTTGGGGGATGGGGAGCAGAGTTCCCAACATCCCCACTACCCCAGTGACCTAACTTCTTTTACTAGGCCCCGCCGACTAAAAGTTCTACCATCTCCCAACCATGCCACAGGCTGGGGAATCAAGCCTTTCACAGGCGGGCTTTTGGGGGACATTCCAAGCCACACTGTAGCACAGATTTTTCTTTCAGATTTTGGAATATTTACATATACATAGTAATTTTGGAATATTTTCTGTACATATATCTTGAGGATGGGACTCAAGTCTAAAGTCTTACAGAGACTCAACTCTAAGTGTTATGTAAACAGAGCATGAAGATAATTTTATACATTTTTAACAATTCTGAGCATGAAACAAAGTTTGTACATTGCAACTATAGGAGCTCAGAGGGTCTTTCTCCCCTTGGGGAAGCTGAACAAACTGTTATGCACCTGTGTTTTCACAGCAATCCATCAAATGAGGTCAGGTGTACAATTTTGCACGTGGGGAAAATGCTCCAAAAGTTTTGACTTTTGAAACATTTTGGATTTCAGATTTTCAGATTAGAGATGCTCAGCCTGTATCACAGTGTAATCACTACAGGATGTCATGAACATGATTAATTTTATTTGTTTTTCAAAATTGAAGGTGGGAGGATACTTGGTATTGAGGTGGGAGGATATTATGGAAGTTTTGGTCCTATACAGACCTTTGCTAGCACAGTCTTTCTTCAGTGGGGGAGCTCTTGAAATAATTTTTCTGTCTGTATATGAATCATTTTATCTACAGCTCATGATACATTAGATGACCAAGTTATAGATAAAACATTCCAAAAATAATTTCCAATTCTCTTTTGAGTAGAGAATGATGTATTCTTCTGATTTTCTATATTTACAACATGAAAATTTATTGACAATGTTGAAAAACTACTAAAACTATAAACAGGGCAATATGAATAAAAATTTGGCCAAAGATAGTTTTATTCAAGACTAAGTCAAAGCATTCCTTACTGAGTGGAATGATCAGGCCCCCATATATGCCTAGCGATTATAAAATTATTATGTATTTGTATTACTTTCTTGGTCTCTCTTATTGGTCTACATAAAAAGATTAAAAGTGCAATCTTTGAACTAAAACTGAAGGATAAAGTTGTCCTCTTAACTGATACCTGTGTTATGTATTTGCTGGTCCAACATACAAATTTTGTTTTCAACTGAAATAAGACAATTTCTTCTTAAGTAAGAAAACGCTTATTCACACAGTTAAAGAGTCAAAGTCTCCAGCAAAGCATTTGTCATATTCCCCACAAATAGCAAGACTCTCCCCCTACCCTTGCCCACAGAAATCCAGAACTTATCTTGGGGCAGATCAATACACCTCATTTTGAGTATGATCAGACTGCAACTCAAATGTCCTTGTCTTCTCTCTGAGACATGTGTCAGGCCAAGCAGAAGGCTCAGTGAGCGATTTCACCCAGGGTCTTCACTTGTGCTGTCAGCGAAGGAATGTGCCATCAATGTCCCTATGGTTCTCTGGGGTTTTTCTTTTTCATTTTCTTTCTTCCTTTTTTTTTTTTTTCGCTTTTTGAGACAAGGCCTCACTATGTATTCCAGGCTGGCCTTGAACTCATGATCCTTCTGCCTCAGCCTCCCAACTCCTGAGATTACAGGCATGTGCTACCATTCCCAACACCCCTGGATAGATTTCAATAAGCATCCACAGACAGTCAAAGATCCTTCCTTACCTTCAAATCCAAACAACACTGGAAAGATGTCCCAATTTCCTTTGGAACATAATATGCTGAAAGATTCCATTTCTCTTTTTGTTTTTAAATTTTAAAAAAATTAATTAATTTTGAGAGAAGATCTTGCTATGTAGCCCAGGATGGCCTCAAACTTATGAAACACTCCTGCCTCAGCTACCCAAATGCTGAAATTACAGGTGTGAGCCACTAGGCCCAGCATCTGTTTCTTTTAACTCTGAGAACATTGCCACTTGAAGTTAAAACATTTTCTCCAACATGTGCCAATTCCCCGTGATGAATGTAAACATTATGTACTGCAAATATGTACAATAAAACAATTTTAAATTGCTGGGTATAATGACACATACCTGTAATTCCAGTGCTTTGGAGGCTGAGGTATGAAGATTGCTGTGAGTTCAAGGCCAGCCTGAGCTACATAGGGAGTTTTTGTCTCAACAACCCCCTCCAATGTAAGAAACAAAATAAACACTTTCTCTAGAGTCTGGTGTTTCATTTTTCATGTAGCTCAGCTTCTTTCCAAAACTATTCCTGGGTAAAGCCATCCCATTTCTGTAGCATATTTATATGGTTTTGGTCCAAGTATTCACACAATTTATAAATATATTTGGGTAAATTGGTCCCCACTTCATGAACTTGACCATTTTTGTCACATCATCCAGAGTTTCAATATTTCTTCTGTGACAGGCTATGACAGTCACAGTGTGACTAGAGCAGCAGAATTTCCTTTGCTCCAGTTGCCCTTCCTGGACTGAACCTCGGTGACCCTGCCCATACAGATGTCCACATGGCTCTTCCAGGCCAGACGTTTCAGTTCCAGATATGAAGGCAAAACTTCCCAGCTGTCTCCTTTCTCCAACTTCACTTTTTGTGAATTCAGTTACCTGCAGTCAACAGCAGTCTAAAAATCTTAAATGGAAAATTCCAGAAATGAACACTTTGTCCATTTTCAATGGAGCCCCATTCTGAGTAGCAGGATAAAATGTCATCCCATTGTACTCAGTCCTACCTGGGACATGAATCATCCATTCTTCTTCACTGTATCTGCCACCCACCCATTAGTCACTAAGTAGCTGTCTGGCTATCAGATGGACTGTCACATTACTGTGGTATTTGTGTTCAAGAAACTTTTAGTTTACTTAATAATGGGCACAAAGTGCAAGAGTGACACCGCTACAAATGCCTACGTCACTCATCTGACTTTATGCCATCACACAGGCAATTTGTCATCTTACATAATCACAAGAAGTATGGTGAGAACAATACAGTAAGATGTTTGTTTTTTGTTTTGTTTTGTTTTTGGTATCGGGGATCGAACTCGGGACCTTGCGCTTGTGAGGCAGGCGGCAGAAGCACTGAGCTCAATTCCTGGCCCTACAGTGAGATGTTTTAAAAGAGAGAGAGAGGTGCTGAGGATTTAGCTCAGTGGTTTTGCCACCTGCTGTGCAAGTGCAAGGTGCTGAGTTCAATCCCCAGTACCAAAAAAAAAAAAAAACCTAAATAAATAAATAAATAAATAAATAAATGAGAGAGAGAGAGGCATCTGAGCAGCTTGTATCACAACACATTGTTAACTGTTGTGTTTTACTATTAGTTATTTTTGTTACTCTCTTACTATGCTAGTTCGTAGATTAAACTTTCTCTTGGGTATATATGCAGAGTAAAACACAAGATAGGTAATGTTCAGTATAACCAGTGCTTCTGGACCTCTGGCAGAGGTCTTGGAAAGTATCACCCCAGATAAGGGGGGATTACTATAAGTGCGTTTTTGGACTTGGCTTGTTTGGAGCAGCTCTTTGTACAGAAGAAAACATTCTAGAATTTCACCTTATTTGCAAATCTTACAAACATTCTGAGATGACATTTATTGGTAAAATGTGTTGACTTGTAAACCTGCATAGAAAACCAACTGTCCCCTCACTTTGTCACACAAAAAGTTCCTGGGTGTGACATTATATGTCATCATTATATTGACTGATTGCCTTGCTTGGCAGAAGAACGTTTTCTCATACTATATCTTATCATTGCATTTTATTCCTTCTAATTTTAAATGTGGGCATTGTTAAGTTCTCATCTCTGTGTGCCTTTTCCTTTTCTAGACAATAATCAACTGCTAATTTGACTCCCTGGTTACCTTAAAGGAGAACGGCAGGGAAATGGGATTAGGCATTTAACTGTATTAGCATGTTTTTCTTTTTAAAGGCAACTGGTAAAAAATAACTTTTTGTCATTGCTTAAAATATAGAAAACTAGAAATTATCTTAGCAACCAATGGTAACAAAATCTTAGTAGTTCACTTACTCATACACCCAAATTGAAAAGCTTCTAGGACAAGCTGTAGTGCCAGGCAGGGTGGGGTCCTTCCAGCTGATTATTTCCATTTCCTGTTGGTGGTTCATTGTCCTTCCTGTCTCAGAGGAGAAGACAGTCTTGCACCTTATCGGTCTCTCTGTTATTTATTTATTTGATTTTTTTTTTTCCACACAGAGTCTTACTATGTAATTGAGGCTGGCCTTCAACTAATTCTGTAGCCTAGGCTGGCCACTAACTCACAGCAATCCTCCTGCCTCAGCCTCCTGAGTGCTGGGAATACAGGCAGTTGCCACCATGCCTGGCCTTCCCTGTCTTAGTCAGGGCATCTGTCATCACCCTAGTTCCCCAGCTGCACCCCTCAGCTGGCTCTTCTGACCTCCTCCTCCCCTAAATCTCACCAGTCATCATATTCATCCTCACTGTCTTAATTCTGGCCCTGCTCATCTCTCCCCTGTGCCATTGCCATCGTCTTCTACCTAGAAATCTTCCATCTCGTCTTGTCACCCAACCATCCATTCTCTTCCCTATGGCCAGGGTTATCCTTCTAAAATGCCAGTTTGATAAGTTCCTTCACTTCCTTCAGACCCCTCAGTGACTCTTCTCTGTCCATGCCTCAAAACCCAACTTCTTCACCATGGCTCACACAGCCTCTTATAATCTGATCCCTCCTGCTCTTTCACTCAAACTAATCCCTGCTCCCTCTTCAGCTGCACAGCAACAGCAACTGAAGAAAGTAATATGGAAACACCTCCACGATAACAACACACATTTATTGAACTATTAAAATAAGTGAAAAAGATTTTAAAACATTGTTTATTAGCGCCAAACTAAAAGCTACCCAAAAAGCCTATCATGGGTAGAGAAATGTTATACTTATTGAATGGAATAATATGTAGCAATAAAAATGATTAACCCTTGGGCTGAGGCTGTAGCTCAGTGGTAAAGCACTTGCCTTGCATGCACGAGGTCCTGGGTTTGATCTTCAGCATAAAAATGTTATCCACTACTACACACAACAATAATATTGAGCAATTTCACAGACATGATGCCTGGCAAAAGAAGGCAGGTACATAAGAGTACAGAAGAGTATGATTCCAGTTATATAGAGCTCAAGATTAGACAAAATGAAGCTTGGATGGTGGAAGTCAGCCTAGTGATTTCTTCTGGGGAGGCTTTAAGGGATACAAAGGAAACTTTTAGGGGAAATGAAAATATTCTCTTTTTATTTTAGTGTCGATTACATGGAGCCTTCCATTCTCTATCTCTCTCTCAATCAAGCTATGCTATCATTTGAATATGGACGCTATCCCCCCAGAAGCTTATGTGGTAAAGGCTTGGTGCCCAGAGTGGTGATATTGGGAGGTTCTGCGGACCTTTAGGAGATGTAACCTGGTGGGAGGTCCTTAGGTCATTGCCTGAAAAGACCTGTGGGAACTCAGCCCATCCGGGATCGCTCTACTTCATGGCTCATGACATAGCAGATTTCTGTTCTACACAGCCCTGCCTGTTACCATCCAGCACGCTCACCAGAGACCCAAAGCAACAGGCTGCCTGATCTTGGACTGAAACTCCAGAGTCTTGAGGGAATAGGACTTTTCTCTTTATAACTGCCTCAGGTATTTTCTCATCATGACAGAAAGCTAACTTACAGAGCAGCTATGAGTTAAAATGTGTGCAACTTGCTGTGCATATGTTATACCTTGTCTTAGTCAATTTGGGCTGCTGTAACAAAATACCATATTCTAGGTGAATTATAAGCCATAAGAACTTGCTTGTCACAATTCTAGAGACTGAGAACTTTAAGATCAAGAAGCTGACAGTAGAGGTGTCTATGTGGGCTGCTTTCTTCTGACTGCCATCTTCTCACCATAAACTCATATGGCAGAGGAGGTAGAGGTCTCTCTCTGTCCTCTTTTATTTTTTTTATTTATTTATTTATTTATTTATTTATTTATTTATTTTCTGGTAGCAGGAATCAAACTCGGGACCCTGTGCTTGCCAGGCAGGTGTGGCACTGCTGAGCTACATCCCTGGCCCTCTGGCCTCTTTTATGAGTGCTAATCCCATTCACCAGGGCTCTGGCCTCATGACCTAATCAACTCCCAAAGGCCCTGTCTCCTAAACCATTACCTTGGAGGTTAGAACTTCAATATATGAATGGGGGGAAGGCACAAGTATTCAGACCATAGCACACCTCAATTTAAAAATTGCTAAATTTAAAGAAGTTTGCTAAGCGGGTATGGGGATATAGGTACTCACTGACTGCAATGAAAGTTGGTAACGATCTTTTGAAAGCGATCAGGTAATACTGATGAGAGTTAACACTTGGCAACCTTTCTACCAGGGATTCCACGTTTGGTAAAGGAATCTCCTAAAAAAAATAACAAGAAAAAAAATTAGACCATGCTGGGCATAGTTATGCACGCCTGTAAACCTAGCACTCTAGGGGGCTGAGGCAGGAGGATCACAAGCTTGAGCCCAGCCTGACCAACTTAGTGAGACCCTCACTCAAAATTTTAAAAAGGCCAGGGATATAGATCAGTGTAAAGGCCCTGGGTTCATTGCCCAGTACTGCAAAAAACAGAAACAAAAACAAACAAAAGCCATGTATACAAAGATGTTTAGAACAATTATTCATAAAAATGAAAAATGGTATACATATGTCCAACTATTGGGAAAAGTTTAAGCAAACTATAGTAAAATAATCTAGTAGCATTGCATGTCACCTTTTAAAATTATCTTGCAATTTGTCCAAATACATGAATATCAAAAATAACATTAATTCCAAAATCAGAAAGCAAAATATCAATTACATGCAAACTACCTAAAACTTGGTGGCTAAAACAATAATCATTTTATTTATTCTCAATTGTGTGCATCAGCAGTCTGGTCTGGGCCCAGCTGGATGGGTTGACTTGGCCAGGGTCACTCTTGTGACCACACTCATCTGTCCAGTGGCTGACTCGGGTTGGATGGTGTAGGAGGGCCTTGCTCACATGTCTAGTGTTGAGTGCTGTCTGAACCATGCACTTTTCTTTCTACACATGACCTGTCATGGCAAGGAAGCTAGTCCAGGCTTCTTCACATGACAGTGGCAGCATTGCTGGAGGGCAAGGACAGAAATGGCAATCTGTTGGTCCAAGCTGATCACAAAGGCAGGAGAGAGGCAGGAGAGGGTCAATCAACTCCACCTCTGGATGGAAGGAGTATCTAGGTCACACTGCAAAGGTGAGTATGTACAGGGATGGAAGGAATGTGTGGCATGAACACACCAACCACTCAGAATGATTCACCACCAGTCCCAAATGAACATGTAAATCATATGGATGTGCACTAATGAGGGTTGGACAAACATCCTCAAAGCCGCAGCAAGTTGTCTTGAGGAAGCAATGCAACAGTGTTCTGAAGGTGGTAGAGTCACAGCTGGTGGAGAGGAGGTTAAAGCCCAAGGCATAGGCAATGAGTACTGTGTTTTGAGGAAAAAACAGTTTAGACTCCTTGACCTTAGTTTGGAAAAGAAATGTATCCCACCATATTTTACCTGATATGTTAGTCAGCTTTCCCATCACTGGGACAAAATACCCAACATCCACAACCTAAGAAAGGAAAAGATTACTCTGCTCCACATATTCAGTCCATGGTCAGCTGGCTTCAAGGCAGAAACAGCACGATGGAAGGGAATGGGTAGGAAAGCTGCTTACCTCATGGCAGCCAGGAAACAGAGAAAAGGTAGAAAACAGGGAGGGAGATATTACCCTCTAGCAAGCAGAGCAGGAAAAACAGAGTTGGAAAAGCAACACTAAATATAATGTCTGAGTGATTTCATGCTTTGTTTATCAGAGCAGTGGGTGTTACAGTCGATAAGAATGTGTACAGGTTGTGCTAATGACAGGGGTTCCAGGGCCATCATTCTTGGAGAAGAGCCCTATGTAATGTAGAAACAGAAGATGATGAGAAACCTAGAAATCCTTGCATTCAGACTAATACTAGGTGGTGGGAAGTGTTGGAGTAACAGGATCCAGGTCACTAAATGATATACTTCTTATTCAGAAAAAGGAAAAATCCTATAAGAGACTATAAAGAGGTCAGGCAAAGTTTTTATTTAAATTTCAGTCTATGCCATTACTCATATGAAGTCCCATATTGGAGGCCAAAAATGTAACAGCAGTTTCTTATGGTTCTCTTTAATATAGGCTGTGTCTTTTGTTACGTCAAACGAGAAGACCCTGCAACCTCTAAAACTGTGAGCTTAATAACCTTTTTCTCTTTATAGGTTCACTCTCTGAAGTGTTTGTTGCAGTGATGGGACGCTGACTTACACAGTAGAAATTTGATGATAGTACATCTTGATGAATTTTTTTTCTTGTTTTTGTTTTTTTCAACATTTCTTGTTTGGGGGATTCAGTGAGCTTCTTGGATAGTTTCCTTCAAATATAAGAACATTTTGGATTTTATTTCTTCAAATAATTTTTGGTTCCTCTGATTCCTCTCCCACCTCATCTGGGGACTCCATTTATATGTATATTAGGCTTTAAATTACGCCCATGGTTCACTCTTTTTAAAGTTCTTTTTTTTTTTTTGGTACCGGGGATCGAACTCAGGACCTTATGCTTGCAAGGCAGGCGCGCTGAAACCACTGAACTAAATCCCCGGCCCCACTCTTTTTCTTTTTAATTCATTTTTCTCTGTGTATTTCTTTTGGATAATTTTTATTTTTTAAATTTATTTTTTATCAGTATACATTTGCAACACATAATACATACATTCATCACAGCGAATTGGTCCATATACATATCACATCTTGATCCTTTTTTCTTCCTTCCCCTCCCTCCCTTTTTTCCTTCCCATCTCTCAATTCCCTAAGCCCTTTCCCATCTCCACAAAGTCTATCTTGCTGTTTCCTATTATCTACCTCTTATTTTGCTTTTTATTTATACTTTGTTTTTCACTTATACTTTATTTAAGGTCTACATCCCTATTTTCTATCATTTATCTTTTATCTTGCTATTTAAATTATTTATACCTTGGGTTTCTCACATAAGAGAAACCATGTAATATTTAATCTGTTGTGTCTGATTTATTTCACTTAGCATTATAGACTCAAGGAGCATCCATTTTTCAGATACTACAGATATATCTAGAGGTAACTCAAGTTATTCTTCTTTATGGCTGAGTAGTATTCCATTGTGTATAAATACCACATTTTCTTTATCCACCCATTTGTTGATGGGTATATGAACCACTTCCAAGATTTAGCTATTGTGAGTTGTGCTGTTATAAACATGAGTATGCATGTAACAAAGTAATATGATGTCTTTAACTCTTTTGGAACGATAACCCAGAAGATGTATAACTGAGTCAAATGGAATTTTAATTTTTAGCTTTTTGAGTAATCTCCATACTGACTTCCACAGTGGTTGTACTAGTTTACATTCACACCATCAATGTACAAGTGTTCCTTTTTCCCCATAGCCTCACCAACAATTTGTTGTATGAGTTCTTGATGGTAACAATTCTTTCTGAAGTAAGATGGAGTCTCAGCCATTTTGATTTGCATTTCTCTAATGACCAAAGATGTTGGACTTTTTTTTATGTACTTATTGACTGTACTTATTTTGAGAAGTGACTATTCATGCCAATTGCTCATTTTTTCGATTGGGTCATTTATTTGGAGGGGTCTAATTTTTTTTAGTTCTCTATAGATTCAAGATATTAGTACTCTGCCTAAGGCATAGCTGGACAGAGTGGGACCTTTTCCCATTCTATAGGTTGTCTCTTCACTCTCTTAATTGTTTCCTTGGCTGTGCAGAAGTGTTTTAATTTGATTTGATATCATTTGTTGATTCTTAATATTATTTCTTATGCTATTGGGGTTCTCATCAGAAAATCTTTGCCTATGCTTATGTCTTCAAGAGTTTTCTTTATTTTATCTTCCAGCAGTCAGTGTTTCTGTTTTAAAATCTAGGTCTTTGATCGACTTTTATTTGATTTTAGTGCACAGTAAGAGATATAGGTCTAGAGTCAATCTTTTGCATGTGGATAACCAGTTTTCCCAGAACCATTCAATCAACTTTTTTACTTTCACCAATGTCTATCTTACCATTAGTCACATCCAATGTATTTTTAAATTAGACATTGTACATTTTCTCTCTATAAGTTTGATTTGAGTGGTTTTATATCTTTGTACCTCTACTTAACTTTGAACATATAGAATAAAGTTATAAATGCTGTAGTTGACTAATGATTCTAATAATTGTGTCAGTTCTGGTTCGTTTTTGATTGATAGCCCCCCCCACACACACACACAGTGGGATATATCTTCCTGTTTCTTTGCATGTCTGGTAATCTTTTGGTTATAAGCCAGACATTATAAATTCTACCTTGTTGGGAAATAGATATTTCTGATCTCTATAAATATTCTTGAGCTTTGTTCTTGCATTGGTTAAGTTACTTGGAAACATTTTAATACTTTGGATTTTGCTTTTATGATTTGTCAGGTGAAACAAGGACAGTGTCAGAGCTAATTATTCTTTCACTGAGGAAATATCCTTCTTTGTATGCTAAGCCAGGCCCTGTAAATCATGAGCTTTTTCAGTCTGGCCTGCAGGAAGAGGCCATATTCCAGTTCTATGTGAATTCCAGCCATTGCTACCTTTCCTCCTTTTGGGTGGTTCTTCACCTGGCCTCAGGTAGTTCCCTTATGCACCTGTGCTGATCAACCTACAGCTGAATATTCAAGGAGAACCCTCTGGGAATCTTTGGAACAGTTTCTGTGGAGCCTTCCTCTGTGGCACCTATCCTGCAAATACTGGCCCTCTTAGTCTTCACGGACTCTGGTTTCATCTCTTCAATTTAGGGAGACTGCTGGCCCCTCCTTGTGTCATGGCCTTCAAACTGTCTCCATATAGAAAATCAGGACAAGCATAATACAAGGAATTACCCATATACATATACATACAAGTGTATAGCTATAAGTTATGGATATATAAGAAACTTATCTAGAGTGAAGTTTCAGAAAAGGGTATTGTCATGGGTGAGGCAGCTGCTTGTGACTTTAACTCTGGCCTTGAGCTGGCCTCACTAGAGGAAGAGTAAGTTCCCGGCCAGAGAATAGGTTTAAAAGAAGTCACTGCCTGGTGATTCCAGTAGCTGAGGTGCAAAAGGAAGAGGAGAAGGGAAGGGGGGGGAGATATTAAAATTTAAGAATGGCTTGGAACTAGACAGAGAGAAGAGGAAAAGTATTCCAAGGAAGTAATCTGAAGAAATATTAATGTGTGACAAAAAGAAAGGTTGATGGAAAGGAGGGGTCAAATGTGGAAACATTTAAAGCAAGGGCTCTGTGGAATTGGGTGTTGCATTTGTGTGG